TTCAATATGCATGCTGCATTCTTTGCCCTAGGAAAGCCTCAATGACTATTTAAATAAAATTCAGGGAAATAGCTGCAATAAAAATGATTTGAACAGGTTTCTTCCAACTTTTTCTAAAAACTAACTAAATCAAACCACACCATCCTGGCAGCTGCATTAGGAATTTTTCAACTAACAACTTAATTGTGGATTAGATGCAGAATAGCCAACAAATGTGGACACCTTGGATAATGTATGGCTATGCAGCATTTTTAAAGAATGGTTAGATATCCGCCATCTATTCTATCTCTTATGCAACCATTCAATCCCTTGCTCAACAGAAAATTGATTAAGATATCTGGGGCATTAAGATTAGTGATCTCACTGACCTGATTCTCCTCTAACGTCATTACCTATTTCCAGTGCTCTTTTTGTAAAAAAAAAAAAAAAAAAGTGCCAAAACTCACACACGTCATACAACCCGCCTTGCCTACCCTACAAGGTTTACCTTTGTAGTTGAAAAAAACCCCTTTCAGTTTTTACTGTATCTAAAAAGACTAGGACTTTGTTCAAGGTAAGTTAATACTATTAATATTACCATGCACTGTGTGGCTTTAAATTACAAGAAGGCATTTTATTAATCTTTTGAGACATTTACCACTGGCATACCCATTTAGTTTAATGAGTGGAAATGTCAGCTTTCTATGTGGAATGAAATTGGTTCAATAAAACAAACTTTGGTTGCTTGTAAAAGATTGAATTTTTTTTAAAAAGTCAAACAAGGTAGAAAAATTTACATTTGGAGTTTAATATGGATATTGACTTGAAACAAATTAAAGTTGAAACTTTGTCAGTGAATAGATTACTCATAATTTACCTTTAAGTTAAATCCAATTTAATAAATAGATCTGATTAAACCTCATACTCTAGGTCTACCTTTACATCTGACCAATACATAATTAATATATTATTATTATTATTATTACCTCCAAATCACAAGACATTAGCTTTATTCTTATTCCTCCCCTCTGCAGTTTGAATATAAAGTATAAAAGACTAAAAAGAGATTTTCGTAGACATCCCAGCCTTTGAACTACCCAAGGAACTGAAACAGCAAAGTTTTCCTGTCGGGCAAGCTTCCATGCCTCGATTCGCCTTTCTTTCCTCTCGCTTCACACCTATTTTTAACCTCACACCCCACCTTCTGTAAGGGAAGGCAAAAGGCTCGCTCACCCTCTCGTGAAAGATGGCTTCCAATGTTTATGTGTCTCCCATCGCCACCATCGGCTTCCACAACACATGGTCTGACCCAGCCAATCAAGCCACGCTCTGGCTGTGGTGCTCTGGTGCCTCATGGCACCGTACCGCCCATGGGGCATTTTCAAAAACAAACAAGGATAGAAGGGAAACTATAGGAAAAGAACGCAACTCTGGAAAATCCATCGAAAAAAGGTGCCAGAACTCTGTTCTGGTGCGTTCTATGACAAAAAAAGGCCCTGCCTATTTCCCTGGCCAAACAGTAATTGTGGAGGTTTTTTGGTGACTCCAGCCTGAATTATGCATTCAAAAACATCTGTACAGAAAGCTCCATGTTTCTGAGTAATCCTGCAGCATGCACATACCACAATCATGAAATGAGTCAAGCAAATGAAGGAATAAGGAAAACTGAATGGCCACATAGCAGGAACAAAAACTTTCTGCAGTGAAACACAGTAGCTTAAATATTTACATGCCTAATTTATCCACTCTTATTTTGCCAAAGATAATTATCTATAGCAGGGAAGAATATTACAGATGAATTTTGATTAAATGTTGAACAGTATATAGCTCCTGCATTCAAAAGATAACAATTTACACTCTATTTTATGAAGTGATATAAGCAGTAGCTAAATAATAATTTAGCGAAGATGACTTTAATATCTTTAAATATATTTTTGAAGTAATAATTTGAAACACTTTTAAATGTTAAGACTTACCAAGATGGCAGGTTGCTCCAATCCACTGCTGTGGACATATACATTCAAACCCATTAATGCGATCAACACAAGTACCACCACTAGCACAAGGGTTAGATGCACACTCATCAATATCTGGGGAGGAAAAAAGTTGTTTGAAATAGCTTTAGAACTGTAAAATATCTTTCAAGCAAAGAAAGACGCTAATTTAATCTGACATGTAATCCCAGAACTGTCTACAATTGTCAAAACTGGCAATAAAGTAAAACAAAATGAGGTTCAAATCCTAAAACAGGGTTAACATAGTTTTAAAAAAAAAGGAATCCCAATCAAATAAGGGAAAATGCTGGCCTGTTCATGCATGTGAGGAATGCTACACTTTGGCATCTTTGTCTCATCTGCTGTGGTTCTCCCCTTCATCATGTTAATTACTTTTCATTCTCTGATAAACTATTTTAAAAAAAAGTTGCATCCAAACTTTTTGAACTTATGGGTATATTTAGAATTTTTAAGTACTGTATAATGCAACTTCATATATTGCCATTGGGAAAAGAAATTTAATTCAGAAAAATATATATGTTGAGCATTACAGCATTTTGTAGTAAATAAACTGATGAGCATCCTTCCTATCAATTCTAAAATCACTTCTCTCTCTCTCATTCTGTCGTTTGGATAGTTTGATACCATTCTTAAGCACTGTATTGTAGCCACATACCACAATAATTTAAAAGAATATTTCTGGGTGGAATGTTATTTAGTTTTAATTGAAAGAATCCAAAATAATATGATATAGAAAACCTGGAGGGTGACAAAGGGGGAGTCCATGTGTGAATTGCAGAAATGGGCATTTTCTTCAAGATATCTCTAAGGGAATGGCAACTGAGTTGCAAGAAATTTTCAAGCACCAAAATGAGTTTTTCATCAGCAAGGTACAAATATTATGACTCAGACAGTACCTACCAATTGCACATGTTGGTCCACTCCATCCTTTAGGACACTGACATTTAAACCCGGATGAAATTTCATGACAAATTCCGCCATTAGCACAAGGATTTGAAACACAAGCATGCTCAGCTAATGGGAAAAAATAATAGTTTTTAAATCCAGACTGAAACCCTGTTTATAGTTTCTCTATAAGAAAAGTCACCATTAAATTTTATACATTTAGGGTGCCCCATATCTGCCAATTTCATTTTCTCTTGGTTTCTTGTTTTTTTTCTTAATCATTTAAATATTCAACATGACTGCTTAAAAATTTCATGTATGTTCATGAATATTTTGTAGATTGCCAGTTTGCTTCCAGATCCAATTCAACGTATTGGTTATGACTTTTAAAGCCCTTCTGGCATACGTCCAGGTTATGTGAGGAACTGGCTCATCCGGTTGGGATTAGCCCAGCGCATCCGCACTGGCAGAAGAGGCATGCTGCAGATCCCATCAGTAAAGAAATTTTGTT